TATTCATCATCCAACTTTCAGATGCCTAGGAAGCAGTTGAAGACAGTATTTAAAATGGCAACCTTGCTCTGCACCTCTTTAAAGAGGACCTTTAAAGCAGGTTTGCCCAATGCAATATACAATTTCTTGACTCCCACTGCCGAGGGGTGCTTATTGTTGATCGAAGTGAAAGGAAATCATTGATAAGCTCAATCCTTTCTCCACTTCTCGTGTTACCTATTGGTCCAGTTGTGAGGATTTTTAGGGTTTTTTTTATGCTGAGGTATAATCCATACTGAAGGCTGTAATAGGTGTTCAGAATCCTCTTCATTTCCCACAAGCAAGGTTGTGTTATCTGCGTATTGTAGGCTGCTGATGAGTGTTCCTCTAATCCCAATGCCATATTCTCTTCATACACTTTCTTGCGAAGTTTCTTGGTAGCATAAATAGTTAACCTTTCTAACTGACTGCTAAATGAAAACTTGAACGCCTGCAGAGGTTCATCAGAAGAAAGGCCTGGTGATGCTTGCAGCCTTACAGACCTCGTAGAGCACAGATCTCTGCATAAGTGGCATCACAATAAGTTGACATCAATCTGACAGTAGATTTGTTGTTGTTGTTGTTGTTGACTGCTTGGTTTGGTTACTCTTTGTATCTCAGACCCAAAGCTTGAAGTTAGAAAAGTATCAACCAGTGATAACACCAGACTTCCCCCAAGGGTGATGAACTAACCAGGAAGGAATGGAGCTTTGCTGTTTTGTGAGTGGATTTTGCTCAGAGAGAAAGACCATCTGGTTTGGTTAGAGCAAAACAGGATTGAGTCAGGAGGAGATGGTGAAAGTAGTTCACCAAAGAGAGGACTGACTCCTCTCTCCACACACCAAATGTGTCCCAAGGAGCATCCTGGGCTCTGCCCAGAAAAGTCAAGGTGACCTCACAACAAATTCTGGATGTCTCCAGGCAGAGTGTCGCCTTAACCTCATGCTCCACCCTCCCTGACAAGCCCAGACACACTCCTTGAGCCATCTTCTCCTTCAAAAGCTCCGATTTTGATTTTGGCTCACTACATTTCCCCACAGCCTCCCAGGAAGCCACACTGGCTGCCTCACCCCAAGGTTACCACATTTCCTGTCTCCAGGGTGCTGAGGGCACGGTTGGGCCAGGGTTAGGGCCTGGGAACTGTGCGATCTGAATCTCTGAAGGAAGATTTTACTTCTCAGAGGCCTCCACTTCTACCTCCCTCTCCCAACCCTTGACAAGGCTGAGAGGAAAAGCACACCAGGTTTGAAATGTCCCTTGTGGCTGATGGAGGGGATTGAAGGCCCCTCTGTCTTTGGGTGCATTTCTCCATCATCAGGGATCTGTGAAGCAGCCTGCTGCTGTTGGCAGGGCTGGCCTAACCATGAGAGAAGTGCAGTGGTCAGGACCATTAGGGGAGTGCACAGGGTGTTTACTCTGATGCTCTTCTATGTTTGTCAGGGACTTTCCCCCTATTCTAACACTAGGAATCTTGCAGCCTTATGTTGCTTTGTTGTTTTATAGCTGAAAGGGACTTCCCATCACCCTCCGCTTCCCATCCTCCCAGTAAGCAGGGCGGAAACTATCAGCTGGCCCTGCAGACAATAGAATCAGAAAATGGAGAGGCTTTCTCTAGGCTGCAGAGCTGATCCCGAGAAAGGAAGCCAGGTCTTTAGAGTCTAGTTCAGCATGCTTCCCTTTGGACACCACTGCCAAAATTCTAGCAGACCACGATGACTCCATGGGCTCCAGAACAGAACTGCACTCCACAGGGTTTCACAGCTGTGCATTTTTCCATAACAGACCACCAGGCCTTTATTCTGAGGTTCCCCTAAGGGGATTCAAACCTCAGGCTTTTGTTAGCAGCCCAGAGCTTAACCATTTGCACCATCCAGAGACTCCAAAGAGATACTGTGAATTAGAAAGCTGAGCTAGTTTCATGCCCACTGACTCTGGTCCCAAGAATGTGGGGATAGACATATTGGGAAGCTGGCAGAGTACCAGGGGTGGTTGCAGAGGCTAGCTACAAGCTCCTTAAAGAAACAACAGGAATACGTTCCAGCCTGGGTGTGGGTAACAGATGTACAAAGGCTTGAAGCTTTCAAGAATTTACATAGGAACTATAGAAATCCTGGCGGGCTACATAGAGTAAGTGTCACAAATAATGCCAGTCTTGAGACCCAAAGTGAACTGTAGCATCTGAGAGGACAACTGAGACTGTCCTCCACAGTTGAAGACTTCAAAAGCATGATGTGACCACTAAAGTACCAGGTTCTGTGAAGGGATCCTATTGTCCAGTGCTTTGTGGACATTTCTTAAGGACATAGCACAACTGGAACATTTTCCAAGACAGCCAACTTATCTGACAAAAGAATACAAAACCAGCCCAGCAGAAGTAATCAGGAAACTAGGAAGTTTAATCTGGAAAAACACAGACCCAAACGGCAACATCACAATAGATAGAGAAAATATTTTGCTTGGATCTACAATAAATACCTTGATACCAGCACTCAGGCGACCAGGAGGTATATTGCTTTGGAAAAAGTTTGCTGTCAGAGACTTCTCGAAAGTCCTGAAAAGCAGTGATGTCAGCTTAAAGACTAAGGTGCACCAGCGTGATACAAACCATGGTTTTTCCAATTACCTGCCAATGTATCTGAGACCTGGGAAATGAATAAGGATGACAGATGAATTGATGCCTTTGAGTTGTGATACTGGAGAAGAGTACTGAATATCCCATGGACTACAAAAAAAATTGAATATACATCTCAGAGAAAGTGGAGCCATAATGCTCTTTGGAGGCAAGGAGGGCAAAGTTTTATCTCACATACTTTGGACATGTTGTCAGGAGAGGCTATCGCTTGAGAGGGACATCATGCTTGGAAAGGTGGAGAGTCAGCAAAAGAGAGGAAGACTCTCAACAAGATGCATTGACCCAGTGTCTATAGCAACATGCTCAACTCTGTTGGAGAGGATAAGGATGATACAGGATAGACAGGGTTCAGGTCAGTTGTTCATAGAGTCCCTATGGTCATACTTGACTCCCCAGCACCTAACAACAGCAATGGACAAGGCCATGACTTTCGTCTGTTGGGGGGAAGGAGTAAAGCAGCAGCAGAAGAGGCCTGAGTGTGGAAGCCCAAGGGAGTAGCCTAGGACCCCTTGTGGTTGCCCTGACATAAGGAATTCAGTTCAGTAGATGGAGAATGTTAAAAAGGTAGAGAAGCTCAGGGGAAGAACGTGCTTATTGAAGAGGGCTCTGTGGTGCTCAGGGTTTTACTGTTAAAACTGGCAACCCTAGCCGTTGACTGACTTTGCCAAGTGGATGAGCATGAATATGCAAATAGGGCAGGTTAGCCTGTCCATAAGGAGATTGACTAGTATTGCCATGAAATCGACCAGATCCAGCAGCAGAATTTGAGAGTCTCAACCTCAGCAAAGAAGCAAGAGTGTGACCTTTAGGGCTAGAGATCGTTGTGCCAGCCAGACCAGGGCCTGCAGGAGCAGCAGCGAGAGCAGCCACAGCAAAGAACTGAGACCTGGCGTGAGGTGGAGCAGACCTTGGACTGTTCTACACTGTTAAGAGTCTTTGGCCCAAGTTCCTTGGAGAATAAGGATAATGAAGGGGTAGGGTGCAGGAAGCAGTAATTGGCAGGACTGAGAGCCAAACACTGCAAGGCTGAAGGCTCAGGTACATGTGAGCACATTTTGGAAGCTGTCATCACTGAGTGATTGTATTCTGCTGCTAACCTGAATAATAGCTTTTTAAACTTCCCTAATATAGTTCTGTATGGTCTAGGAGCTATTGTAGTGAATTTTTGACCCAGTAAAGCAGTAAGATTAGTGTTAGAATAAGTAGAAAGCGGTACAGGAGTGTGGAAGACATGTCTGACCTCATGGTAATTGGTTTTGTGTGGTTGATGTTGTTGACAAGAACAGTTCCCCTTTGTGGAGCTGATACAGGTCTGATAAGAACATCCCCACACAGCCTTTGCTCCTTTTACAGCTGTGTTAGAACTTTTGCAAATATCGTTTCAAATAGAATTCAAATTTTTATCTTCAGTGTACCAACAGGTATACTAGGTAAGTATACAGACAAGAGTGGATTGGTTTACTCACGGCCGTATGTACTTCAACCCTCGCAGACACTGCCAGTTTTCTATCTAGAAATGGGAACCAGGCCTCTGGAGTCATCAGTGCTGACTTGAACAAAACCCAAGCTCCTGGATACTATCAATTGGACCACTGAGCATGGACCCTAAAAGCCAGAGTTCCTGGGTCACTGACGATGCTCAAATTCAGGTTAATCATGAACCAAGGCTTTTTAGAACAAGGCTTCAGTCAATGGCTGTTGTACACCCTTCCAGTGTACCCACTACCAGAGGATGGTGAAGCCCATAGGTTGTGTGCTACTAACCACAGTACCCACTGCCTGCCATTGAGTCAATTGCAACTACACAGCCGCCTACACTAGGTCTCTGAGGCTGTAAATCTTTTTGGGTAGGGCAATATTGCCTGCCTTTCACCCAAGACATAGGTGATAGATTCAAACTACCATCGTTTCAGCTAGCAGCTGACATGTTAAGCCTTACCCAACCAGACCTACTACTCCTGCTACCTCTCCATTGTCCGGTGCCATGAAGTCGATTATGACTCATGGCAGCCCTATCCCACGCCATCCTCACCATCTCTGCCAGGCTGGAGCCCACTGTTACAGTGGGAGCCGTCAAAGCAAACCAATACTCTGTGCCTCAGCCAGGCAGAGATCTTTGTCCCAGCAAAGAACTAGTGGGCTGTGAAGAAAATGGAAAGAGATGGTCAGAAGGAGCATCTTGGGAGAAAGTCACCACTCTGAGCATGTGGTTTTGTGGGTATGTTCAGCCTCAGGCATCTGACCACGTGAATAATCTGAGCCCCGCCAGCCTCTAGGCCTGAGACTCCCAGATCTCCTTGCATGTGTTGTCTCTGTGCCTGTTGACCTTCTCTCTTCCCTGCTTCCCTAGGGAGGCCCCATCCAGAACCGCAAGTCCAAGCGCTGCCTGGAGCTGCAGGAGAACAGCGATATGGAGTTTGGCTTCCAGCTGGTGCTACAGAAGTGTTCGGGCCAGCACTGGAGCATCACCAATGTCCTGAGGAGCCTGGCGTCCTGACCCCATCGGGGAGCCGCCTCTGCCCGCCCCTTTGCTACTGTGTAGCACCTGCTGCCATGCTGCCTGCTGTCCATGTGCGGTTGTTTGGAGTCTAGGAGAGCCAGGTCAGTGGGCCCCGGAAAGAGCTTTTTATTTCCTATTCAATTTTCATGGAGTTTATAGAAAGATGCTGACTGGTGGGTGAGGGTATCATATCATAAACTATTTTGCAACTGTAAATATGGGATAAGTGGAAATATTTATAACTGACAATAAAACACTATTGATTAAGAAAAGGGTTCTGGTGGTCATTTGGTGCTCTTTGGAGACTGAGGCCTGGCTCCTCTGAACTTGGAGTTCTCAAAGCCAAAGATACGTCGCCATTTGCCCTTTCTGCTTCACATCCTTGAGAAAGACCTCTACATACTGTGCACAGTAGGAGTCGCTTGTGCAAGCTGCCAGCTTGTTCTGTGAGGCCCAGGGCAGGCAGAAGAGCACTGTGACCATGATCCCCACCTCCCAGGGTCGTCTGCTTCCAATTCTCCCCAACAAGGTTCCTCCTCTGCAAGGCACCCTGGCCTCTTAGTTCCTGGAGAGACTGAAATGCTCAGTGGACAGTGTCCTCTCCAGAAGTCTCCAGGTGCCTCTTTATCTCCCAAAGCCATCTGCTGCTCAGCCCCAGCAGAGACACTCACCTGCAGCAAATTCCTCTCCCCCTGATGAAGCTCCTACAATGATCACAGCTCCCTCCCAAGTATGGCTGCATGTCAACCCATCCGCACAGCCTCAGGAGACCATGGCCCTCAGAGAGGAGCCACCTTTCTTGGAGCCTATGCACAACCCTCCAATAGTTCTGGTGCAGTATTTCTTTCCTAGTCCATTTCCTAGTGTTGCTGTTTTCATTTTGAGGGTCTCCTGCTCTAACACTCCTTCGGCTCTCTAGCTCACAGCAATGCAATGGTAACTGAATGATAACTCTAACTAGAAAGAACTCTTTCTGGACAGATTTCAGCCCTATCTCCTCAAGTTCTCTGGAACCTCCTTCCCAGGGTCTCAAGCCCAGGCATGTGCTTGTTTGAAGTCAGTATTTTATAGCCAAAAACCAGATTGATGGTTTTGTTATGTGCCATCGAGTTGGAGCCAACTCACAGCTGACCTGCCAGTGTGTTTTCAGAGACAATAAATCACACAGGAGAAGAGAAGACTGCCCATCTTTCTCCCATGGTCCAGCTGGTGGACTCAAATTGCCCGACTTTGAATTGGCAGCACAACTCCTTCCCACAAGGCCACCAGAGCTCTGCTCTATGCACTCATGGGGTCCAGAGGACAGAAGGACCTGCTATCTCGCCCGTTTGCACATCAAAAGGGATCTGCTGCAGGTGAGCTGAAAGGTACCTGGTAAGCAGTAGGGACCAACAGGGGCTTCCTGGGCCACCACCAATAGACTGCTCTTTAAATTCTCCTGAATTCCCAAGGAGTTCGTGGACTCCTTGCCTCTAGAGAATGCTCAAGGCATTTGCCAGGTGGTTCACAGCTCATGGCCATCACCCAAGATTTTACCCTAGGGAGCAGGAGCACCCCAGGTAGAAAGCAGAAATAGGCACTTGTAATTGTAGACACGGCCTTGCCTACTCTCTGGAAGTCACAGTTCTTATATCCTCCCTGTGCTTATTTCCCTTCTTAATTAAACTACACTTATTCCTGGGATCAATTCAAAGCCACATCTGCATGTGATTGTACTGTCACTCAGACTTCTAAATGTCCCCTCTGTTCAGTTTACTCTCTGCCCACCTGTTCTTCACTTCTAAACCATCACCATTCTGTTTTTCATCATCACCCCCACAGGATGCCCTATAATAGTGGGGGCCCAAAGTGTAGCTCCTGGGCCAGCAGGAGTGCAAACTTGTTAGAAATGTAAATTCTCAAGCTCCTTATTCAGATACTCTGGGGTTGAAGCCCAACAAAATACACTTTTAATAAGAGCGCACATAATTCTAAGGTCTTGTTAAAGAAGCTTGAGACTTACTACCCAGCACCAATCTCAGTCAGTTCACATCTGTCCTCAGCCACTCCTGTTAAGGCTATTATCTCCAATATCATCCATACTGCTCTCCTTATTCACACCATCCTCCGCCTCATGTCGAGAGAGCCCAGAAATACCCCGTGTACCTGCCAGTAACACTAGTGCAGAGTGGAAAGAATAAGAGTGTGGACTCCAGCCAGATGGTCTGCATTCAAATCGCACGCCTACAGCTTGCTAGCCAGGTGGTTTAGGACAGTTACTTGACCTCTCTGTGACTCAGCTTCCTTCTTTTTTTTAAAAAAAAATAAATTTAGTTGTGTGTGTGTGTGTGTGTACCGTCAAATCGGATCTAACTGGTACAGGAGAAGATTGCTCCTTCTTCTCCGGCAGAGCATCTGGTGGATTCAAACTGCGTACCTGTTGGGATTGCAGTGCAGCTTCTTGCTACTAGGCCACCAGAGCTCCCTCAGCTTCCTTCTTTTTTAAAAGTCAAGATAATAGTCGTATCTAATTTATGGGGTTCTTGTGAATATTTAATGGGTTAATTTATATAGAACCCTTCAGACCATAATGAGTACAATGCCAGTCTGGTGCCCTAGGGAGTTGTGACATGGACCCAAAAGCTTTGCATCTCTAGCAGTTTGAATCACCAGCAGCTCCAAGGGAGAAGGACTGGCCTCAGAAACGCGAGGGAGAATCAAGTGTGAGTCGATTCGGACTCAATGGCAATGAGGTGTGGAGTACTATTATTAGTTCACCCTCTGAGACCTTGATGACCAGTTGCTGTCACTGATGCCCACACTCACCCTTGGCCATGCCGGTCACCATTCATCTCTCACTCTACCCGTACTAACACCCTCTTGTGTCATAGCCATCTTCCTGGAGGTGTTGACATGTTCAATGCCTTTAAACCCACACATCTTTAGTGTCCTATCAAATACCTTCTACAATAACCCATTCCAGCATCCACATTCGAAGGTACAGACTCCACAAAGCGCCTCACTCCTGCGTAAGCCTCTATCTGTAATTAGAGATAAGTGGATTTGGAGATTATTAACAGGAAGGCAGAGTACTTCCCTGGGACACCAATTCACCGTCTCCTGCAACACAGATGCCCAGCCGCTGGACTAAAAGAAGTTCTGAAATGGCTCTTGAGAACCCTCAACTCTGAAAACGGAAACCTCATGGTTAGCCCATGCTCCTCCTTATCTCAGAAATACAAAAGACATTAAGTCTGAGGCTATGTATTCCTAGGGCAGAGGCTCCGGGTGGGTGTAGCACAGAGGCAGAAGGTCCAAGGTGTCATCAGAGGAGGAAGAGGAGGCCCCAGCCCACCTCCACTTCAGCCCTGTTACAGCCTCATCTGGCTGCTTTTCCCACGGTTGCTGCAAGCTAATTAGCAGCTGGTTAGGGGCTCTTTGAACACCCGGAGTGAGATCATTATTTTGCTTAATGATTTGCACATTAAACAACTTTGTTTCCTATTTTCACTCTTATTAGAAAAGGCTCCTCAAGCCTGCTCATGGCTTCTGACAGCCAGTCAATTCTACTGCTTGGCTCACAATCCAGTGCCACTGTCCAGCCCCCAGCCCTATCTATGTCCTGAACAGGGAAAGAACACTATGTGCTCTTTACTCCCCTTTGGCAGATGGGCACAGTTGCCAGTGCCACAACGGCAGAAGGCATAAGTGCTCTGGTCATATCCTCACGTGCCCTGTAGGCCACTGCTAAGAGTTCCAGCACATTCCCACAGGTCGTGCAGCTTCCTGCGTCTCTCCCTGAGGCCTTGGACCTAACCTAGACAATCAGGAATACCAAAGAGTTTAGGCCTCAGGAACAAACACCATCCCACAAGGGTGAGTCTCTCCCTTCTGTGCAATGATTGAAGGACTTTCTCAGAGGTATTGGGCCCCAGTCGTGTATCTTAATGAATACTTTACTGGCCCCCTGTCTCATCCCCCCACTTTGTCTCTGTGCCTATCAGGATCACCTCCAAATGCTTGCCTAGGAGTGTTCTCATGGCTTTACCTACCTCCTGGGCACCAGGGAAATCTAAATCTGCATCTGCATTGGGATTAGTCCTGTGAGTGCTGAGCCCGCCCACCCTGCGGACAGAGAGCTGTGTGGGTTTGCGTCAGACAATGCCAACAAGACATGTTTAAAATGGACCCTTCCACCCTCCCTCCAAAGCCCTTCACAGCGACCAGCCCTACCCTCCACCAGGTGCTCCAGTGGGCACCCTGGCCACTCACACCCCGCCCCATATCAAGTCACTGAGTGCATTCGTGGTAGCCATGCTTCCTAAACAGTTCAGAAACTATTCCCTGAGCCTCTCCATCTCTCCCCGTCTCTAGTCTCACTCACTTTCCATCTCATCTGTTCTCTACACTCATTGGGATCTTTCTGAAATGCAAATGTGATCAGATTTGTTCCTTGTCTAAAACCTTCAGTGGGTCTCATCAAAAGATTGTAAATGACTGCTCGGCCAGCAGCCCTCAGAGCTTCCTCCAGCAAAGTGTACAGAGGCCAAATGTTGGAAGCATGCAGGTCAGGGCCTTAGACACAGGGTGGCTGCGGGTGGCAGGAGCCCCTGGCTTCCTGGCAGGCACACTCACTGGGGGTCTTTAGCCCAGACCCACCCCTGAGGGAATATGACTGCCTTGTGGGTCCTTTGAACTTTTTTTAAAAGGAGAAGCAGCAGAGCTGTGGTGAAGAGCAGTCCCAAGCCCAGCTCTGTGTCTTTTCAGGAGCAGATAACCTCAGTAATCTGGATCCCACAGGGAGAAGGATGGGCATTGCACAAATGGCAGGGAATTTGTGTGTGAGTACCTGAGTTGTTCATCATCGCCCTCTGTGTCTACATTCTTCTTAAGAAAAGTTGTCCAATCACACCCCCAGTGGTCACCCCATTTGAACCATGGCCATGCCTTCTTGCCTCCAAAGAAGGTTCACCCTGACCCCCCATGTAGGTATCAAGGTTGGAAAGCAATCAATCAAT